TTTACATGCGCAATATATGCCATATACATTCACTTTATTTAATTGTATGTTTATACAAACGAACATATGTATGTGGGAATATATACATACAAGTATACAAAAGTAAAAAGTTCACGTTCGTTTTATTCCCACAAGATGTAATTTCTGAACTCTTAAGGCTTTTCTCACTCCATTTGGGGTTAATGTTTTTTATTTAAATATAATTTCATAGTACTAAACGAGGCACTTTAGCTGCGGCTTAACCAGTTCTTTCCTGGAGCACGTTACTCCTGCTCCATTCATCATACAATATACTGGTGCTGGAGAAAAGCAACCAATAACTGTCACCCCTTCCCCAGAAGATTGAACGATTGCTGCCTTCTGTATTATGGGTGTGATTTGGAGAGGCAGAGTTCGAGAGATTCGGAAAAGCTGATCGAAAAGCGGCAGAGCGACTGCAGCATCAGCAAAAGGCCTGGTAACACCATCAAGGGCAGCTAATTTGAGTGTAGCATAAACTCTAATGACAAAAGAAACGCTGAGTGAAGTGGCCGGGCAATACCCCTGATCGACAAACGGCCTTCGAAAAGGGGAAACCTGTAGTGGAGAAGCGGAGAGCATGGTAAGTCAGGCTGCAACTCAAAGCCCAAATAATCTTACCTGACATTAAAAGGCACGGCACGTATCTAAGCCGACGAAGGAGTCATGTCTATCCATCAAATAAATATCAATAAGGGGGCAGAAGACCTGATGTACGCAGACCACAAAGAAAAGGAGCTCACGTTACGACAGCGTAAGCATTTCACCAGCCGTGCCAGATATGACCGACCTGAACATAGTGATGAAGGCTATACAAAATGGCTGAGGAGTATGGTGTATAACTGATAAGGTTCACGTATCACATGTTCTGAATAAATAATGTCTTTGGAATCTTTCACACCCTTATCTTGAGATTAGTTTTTTTTGTGGCATACCAAGTTTTATCTGGGGACTTACTTCCACAGTTCTCCGCTTTAAAAGTGAAAACAAGCTTGGAAAGCTTAATATGCGACTTACCATCGACTTTGAAGCTCCCTACAACAACACAACGCCTATGGTAGGAATTGTATATATTTGGTCATTCGAAACTAAAGGATAATTACACATAATTACTCGAGGATGTCAATAAAACTTCCAAAGAAAAATTGTACACTTAGTTAAGATTTCTTTTAATTCTACAAAAAAATGGGCTTCGAGCAACTGGAAATGCGAAAAAAATTCTTAAGTAATATCAGTGGATTCATGAAGAAAAATAATAAATGAGGAAGGTTTTTTTTTTCAATTATAATCGTGAGATGAACAGAAATCGTCAAGAAGAGGGATCCAGACTCATGTGGAAGGATGATAAGAAAGGACATTGGCTAGGTAGCGTTATAAACAGCACGAAGAAAGAGGCTGAACTGCAAACAATTTTTGGAGCAATCTCGTCGCAATTTTAAACACAAAAGAAAATATGTGTGAGGGGCACATGAGATCTCAGGGAGAAAAACAAAAAAATTCCCTCTCACTGATTCAGAATTGAGAGCAATTAAAGATCCTGGATTACAAAGTCGAAGGTTGGATTAAAGCATGAAAGAACGTGGTCATGTATCCACAAGATTTTCAACAAAGACCTTCCACATTTCTAACAGTTCAGTAACTGCATTCTGTATGAGAACCTAATGCCCATCCTCCACAGGCATTCACCTATGTGGTAATACGCATTTCAAAAAATAAATTGCTGATTGTTGCCTCATATCAATGTTTGGATTGAGTGGAGGCAAAATGATTAAATAGATAAGGCAGTTTTTTCAGTTTTCCTCCAATTATTTGTGTCGAAATGACAGTTGGTAGGCAAAGGAAGTGGAAACGAGTTAGCTTTACCCCTCAAAGATAACTCAATGAAACATAAAAAGTAATATTTAATCTCTTAACTATTATTTTTTTCATCTCCTCCTTATTTCATTTCATTTTACTTAAAAGTACAGACACTTGACATTATTTTGTTTGGAAGCCATTATTCCTGAGCATGGCTTCCGTATAGGTTTTTTATAATTAAAGATATGTATAGTGGTTTTTGTTATGCAATAACAAAACTTACCCAAAATTATTATTGATTTCATAAAAATAATAAACACTTGAAAATAATAATTAATTTTTTTTATTGTTTAGATGTTTATGTGCGTGTGTATGACATGCAATAGCAGGCGGCCTCTTGAGCAGTTTTGATTTAGCCATTAAAATTTAGTGTTTTCTTGTGGTTATAAAACTTTTATTCCATTCCACAGTAAATAAAGTAATTTTTATGAAAGTGTCTTGAACGCGCACGTTTTTTTCACATGCAAACAAGGTGCGAGTTGAATAAAAAGTGGGTAAAAAGTATTTAATGTTTTGCATAAAGAAAAGAAAATAAAAACATAGAAAGCGGGACAAAATATTTTTTCGATTGGTGAATGATAGTGCTAAAAACGACTGAGGAATTTTTTAATTAGATTTTATTTTTTTCTATTTATTAATTATTTTTTATTTTGTTTAATTATTTTTTATGTAAATATTTATTATGTGCTTATTTTAATTTAATCAGTTTTTTACGCTCTTTTTTTTTTTTTGTTTTTTATTTGTGAAAAGTGGAATAATTCTCATCTTCTCTCATTTTACTTTTTTACTGTTATTATTATTTTTTATTTGTTATTTTTTTAAATGATTTAATTTAGTTTAATATTTCAATTATTTCAATTCTTCCCATTTAAATTGTTCTATTTAATTTATTCAAATTAATTTTTTTCTTTTGATTGTTTATTATTAGATATTATTTGTTTATTTAATTTTTATTTTATTTATTTTTTAATTTAATTTTTGTGTTATTAGACTTTTTAGCAATTATTTTTTTATTGTTATTTATTTTGTTTCTCATTAATCATTCTTTTTATAATTTTTTTTTTGCCAAATAAATATATTCGTAGAAATATCTATCGAAATTCGCTTGCACTTTCCCCAACCCAAATCACACATTAGAGGTTTAATTGCCCACCTGCACACATACACGCACACACACAAAACCAAACTCAAATTATTTCCGTTAGCTGCATTTTGCATACAAAACACTATTAAATGCAATGAGTAATGGCAAATTCATTTCCTTACATACTCTGTCACAACAATGCGTAAACGAATTCAGCCCACAAAATTAAGCAAACCAAACCAAACCAAGCCAAACCAAATCATACGCTGCAATGAATTAAAATCAACCAAATGCACATAACTTCAGCTGCAATTCATCTAGTAATTTATTTATATTAAAGCCGGCAATTTAGTTACGTCAAATTATTTCATTAAATGCATTCGCATTGTGTTTAATCGCATTTATCCATCTACGCATGCGCAGCAGCTGCTGCTAGGCGCTAGACGTTGTTTTTATTTTATTTGCACAATTTCGCGCCATGGGTTTGGAAATGGAATTGCACTTCCTTGGCATTTTGCGGCTTAGCTTGAATGAGTTATTGTAATTGTATTCAAATGCAGATGTGTAGATGTGTGTATGTGTGTAAGTGTATATGTAAATGTAACTGCTTGCAGCTGGGCGAGTCGTTAGCAAAACAATACTTGCAAGCATATGCAAGTTCGAGTACATACAATTGAGTTTTCATGCATGTAGCATTAAGGTTCAAGACGGGTTTATTGTAGTTGCATAAGCTCATTGAACCTGTCTAGCCGGGCGAAGCGGAAGGCGATGTTTGTTGTTGTTTTATGCATTTTTTATTGTTCGTGTCATGAACTTGATATTTGGTTAAATTGAAAAAATTCTGCATTAGTTTTTTTTTTAAGGAGAGCCAAACTGCCAGCTTACCATTTGGGTTGTTTCAAGGTCGTGAAACGACTATAGAGTTCTTTAGAGGAATCGTCGAGCAAACCCAAATATTGGTTTTTGGGGATCTCTGCAGAAGTTTCCTGCGAACTTCACACTGTCAATTGCAGCCATAATGAGAATTATTGGCTTTTCATGGTCAACGGTTAAATTGGTTGGATTGGATGTGCACATGGTTAATTGGTATCATAATGCTTGCACCATGTGGTCAGACCGAGGACAAGAGGACGGCGGGACGTCAAAAAATGCCACTGGTTCTGTGTGGGGTTATCCAGAATACGACTCTAACATCTTGGCGCATCGCTGCTCAGAGAACTGATAGATGTCACAAAGCTAGATAATAGCGCGCTCGTAAACTTCAAGCATTGAAGTCTTATATGACAACTACTACACCTCAAATCAAGCCTAGCCTATGGCCTTGGTTATCAAAACGGCATTCCCCGGGGCAGAAAATCCAAACCGAATCAGAAGATTTGAGCGAAAAATTTAGGTGTGTTGGTTATGGCTTAAAAGGCCGTTAAAATCCATTAGATCCAGTTACAGTTGGATCGGCGAATTCCTGTAGCTCTTCACGTCACGTAGGAATGGAGATTTCAATCATTCTAACCATAGTGAGAAATCGCGTTCAACCATAGTTCATCCCTTTTCTTCGGTAATGAGCTTTCTCGCCAGTAACTTGACATGACTTGATGAGACTTTCCATTTACAACTATGCAGCTAACTAACAAGCAGAGACATGTATAATTAAAGTAGATACCAGTGTTTCTGAGAATTAGTGTTGATTTAGGTAATGTAGCTTTGTAAGGAACTGGTGGAATAGGTCTTTATATGGAGCCCTTTCTTTTTGAAAACATTGTTTGAGACTGCTTACGCGAGCTTCGTGCCTTGTGCACTTTGGTCTATAACGTAATCATGAATTGACCTACAATTGAAATACGCTGCAAATCATGGAACTTTGTTTTCATAATTGTCATTATTGGACATTCAACCATCAACATGCATGTGTGAGTCTGGATTATGAGCCGTACTTTTTCAAAGATGCCGACGGCGGGAGCGTTGTTGTGAATGGCGAGCGCTACTGATTGCAAACATATTGTATTTAATCCCATTAATTTCTATTTGTGGAAATCCCACTCACCTTATTTCAAGCAAACATTTTCAGGGCAGAGAAATGATAAACAGCAACTTCTTCCATTGTGTTCCACCAAAAAACGGTATGAAAAATATATTTTTCAATTCCAAAAATGCAATTATATTTGCATGTGCGGGAAACTACTTCTCACCAAAATATAAATTATTTCGCCGCGTCGTTCAAAGGTATTTTCTTCCGTTTCGCAGTATTTTTTATTCGCGAAAAACTAAAATTGTTTAATAGTTGAACATTTCAAATTTGGATGTGTGGGTTTATTCCTGTTTCTCTTTAGTCACGCACACGCCACGCATTTGATGAGGAAAATAAAATAATTTTTTGCTCAATATTTTATGAATTGGGTATTTTTTATGCGATAAAGGTGAGAGGGAGAGTAAAAAGTTTGCTGCCGGAGAAAATATACACGAAAAATATAGAAACCTCACTTAATTCCGTATTTTATCGGGTTTAATTAGTTTAAGGCACTGGAAAATTATTTTTAAATACTTTTTATTTTGCAAATACTTAGTGCTCAAAGCTTTTCTGTTGCTATTTTTTTGGTAGTATTTTGATATTATAAACACTTGTCTTGCCAAAGCACTGTTAACTGGTCTAGTATGTAACGCAATGCAACAATTTGTTTCACTTCACACATTCGTTTATCAGCAATTATCTTTTTAGACTATCTTTTTGAAGATATAAATTTCATTATTTTTTCCAACACTTTCAACGTACATACACTCACTTATACGTGCATACACTATTTTGCCGCCCGCGAGTGTTTACTACTCGACTGCAATTTGGCCAATGATCGGTTATTTCAAAACTCTTCATTGGCTGCATTCTTCAAGCGTATAACACCGTTATCGTAATAGCCATCATCATCGAGACCGTGGACGACGAATCGTCCAACAACAAGCGAAAGCTTTTCTCCTTTACTACTCAACTAGCGATATGTCTGAGCGCTTTTACTCTTCCTCTCACTCTCACTTTTAGTTTTTATTTACCATTTATTATTGTTATTGTTATTGTTTTTTTTTTTGTTTTTTTTTTGTGATTACTTACACACTATATTCCTTTTTTCTTCAATGGCTCACGTCTGCCAAACTATTTATTCCGGTTTCGTTGCAGCTTTTTGGCCAAGTGGAAAGGCCAAAATGGAATTTTCGTTTTGAATTTTTATACATTTCATTTTCTTTCTTTTTTTCTTTGTTTCTCGATTGCCCATCAAATCGAGTTTAAAGTAAAGCGATTTAAATATATTTATTCACCGCTGCATAGCCTAAATAACTCTTTGCTGGTATGGTTTTGTTGGTGGTAATACGAGAGGCGGAAGCGTGGAGAAAAATTGTTTGAATTGCGTAAAAAAAAAAACTTTGTGGGTTACAAGTTTATGAGCAACGCTTTTGGAGCAGTTGTTGTTCGCTTAAAAACTTTTTTGGCTTTGGGCAATTTTTAAATGGTCCCTTAAGCGGTTTTAGTAAGCAGCTAAATACTCATAAACTCACATCAACTCCTGAATTATCGCTGAGAGGGTATCTAATGGCGAACCAAAACCAATACTTAGGCACAGCTCATAATAATTAAGAAATTGATTTGTTGCTGCTTTTTAACACGAAAACTAATAATTAAATAATAATTACATATTTAACCTTAGAAGTGCCATGCGCTGCCCAGTAGCTGAAGAAGCTGAACGTGCAAACATCGAATCACCTGGCTTTGGTGAATGATGTTTTCTAGGTACTATTGTTAGGTTAGACTCAAATACCCCAGCTTAGAAAGCTTTCGATATAAAACTTTCCAATGCTAGAGGAAGGCCTTCATACCTTTGAAGATTTTGATTCTACCCACTTGCTCCACCAGTTTCTCTCACATTAGTATATCTTCTTGAAAGTACTGATTTAATTTCTGGCCAGATCAACACACAACGTTATTGATAATTGATTTCGGTTTCGTTGGCCCCCAGGTAGGAAATGTAAGCACCTCCGATAGTATTTCTAACATGAAATAAAAGCCGTTACATGTTCGAAAGCGGCTTAGAGTAAATTTTAGGTCAACTACAGTATTCGCTGATACCACTTCGCAAAAAAGAAAAAACTCCGACTAGTGCCGACTCATTGGTTCAGTTATTGTCCACGCGTCTGCACCACATGAAGACACATAATTTTAAGACGGATCTTGGTATTGGTTATGATGCTGGTTATATAAGACTAAAAAGTTATGGCCATCAACAGTGTCGTGGAATCCAAAACTCGTTAAACTGCCGATGTTCACATCATCTAGTGTCATTTCAAAAGGTCCTTCCCGACCCAAATGTAAATTTAGTGCTGCTGCTTTCAGAACATGTACTGATAGGACAATTTTTTCGCATCAGACGCCCTTCATGAAGAAACATGGACCGTCTCTCTCTGCTGTTGGTCTAGACATTGCTGATAACTCACTTTTCTGAGGGTGAAAGCTAAGTGACAAAAAAAAAAGAGAAAAGGTTACTGAGTATTTGTTCATCAAGATGAGAGTGTTTTGGTTTACCCAACCACATCCTTAAATCATGGCAAGAAAGAGTGGAATACAAAGATTATAGTTTTTCGCCGATTTAGTTCATTAATGTCTACGTAGATGAAGAGCGATAAAGGTTATTTTTACATTCATAATAAACTTCTTTTTTCCTAACCCGACATCCATTTCAAACAAATATAATCTCCCAAGGGAAATAAATAACCGAAAGACAGAAACTATGGGCTATACTTTTAATTCCGAGTAGCCAATAAACAATGATTTAATCCAAAAACTATTCAAATCCTTTCCAATGCCTATGGATATTTCTTTTTGCATCACTAATGAAATGACACAGCACTTTGGCTTAATCGAACGTTACTTATCTCTACACTTTCGACTTCATTTCGAACACGTTCGTCCAAGCAAGTATTGACATACATATATATTTTTAGCTCACATACAGGGTGATAAAATAAAAATTAAAAAATTCGTTTAATATTATATTTATGAAAACAGTGAAACAAATATTTTAGGTTTCGAGCCAAAGCAACAAAAAGTTGCTTCTATGGCAAATTATTGTGATAAATCCGAATTCTCACAAGGTTTTTAAGATTGATTCCAGTTTCTGAAATAGCCAGTAACTTAATTTTTCATGATTTTTGAAAACTAATGGTCATTTTATTAAATTAAAAGTAACAAATCATAAATGAACAGAGATGGTCTTTAGAATCGTTTGGAACCCGTCTGTTTCATGTAGAGCTCAACAGTAGCCGCTCGTTACATCTTCCTCGCTAAATTCGTGCAATCGTCTTTCGATGTTGGCTCGTTCTTGAGCCGAGGTAAAATTGCAAAAAATGTATCTTTAGATCTAGAATGTTGCAATCTTCCAATAAATTTTCAAGTAATAAAAGAAGTTATGCTCACAAAATGAATTCCCGGAAGTATTGAATTTTTTAGATATTCAAATTTTATTTATTAAATGTTATTCTTTTATATTTTGATTTTTTTCTTTTCTGAATGGACCCTCGTATTAAGGACAGAGTTCACAAAGAGTTAAAAAAAAAAACCATTTATACGTATTGGCTCACCCTGTGTGCATTTTGAAAAGCGTGCTTCTGCGTTTAACAAATATTATTTCACTTTCGTTTGCTAAGCCACTTGCGCCTAAGCTTCAAAGCTATCTCAAATCAAATAACCAAAGCAAAGAGTGAACCAAGTAAATATGCCACACGCAGTTGTGAGTGCCCAAGAGTGGAAAGAAGAAGAAATTTGCTATAAAGCTAATAAATAACTATATTTTTATTTTCCATCTCTTTTTTGATGTCAAATTCATCAATATTTTTTGCAATGTTTCCTTTTCTCTATAAAAAATTGCTTTTTTATCGTAATATATCACCACAAAACGAGGTGAAATACGCAATTGCACTGCTCTGAGTACAAACGATGGTAAGTTACACGAGATTTCTTATTTCTGCTGAGATCAAAGCTTGCTGCTCAGTGCGACAGTTAAGGGACTACGTGACTTTGGTAATGACTAAATGTGATTATTTTTACACTTCATTTTCGGTCCCAAGTGACTAGAAAATTTCAAGTCAACACATTTTTGAGCTACGACAATTTATTCCCCTTGAGTGACGTTCAAACCGGCCCACGCAAATAAATTGTTGTTCACATATATTCAATTATTATCTTATTTATAAAAAAGAAGAAGTAGGTTTTAATAATATTTCAGGAAGCTCTTTCATCCTATATGAAATTGAATATAAAAGCCACGACATTTGTACTTTTCATACTCGGTTGTACTACGTGCGCAGAGATTATCAGCTTTACGCAGCTAGCAGTTGTTCCTAACGACCTAAAACAATCGAGATAAGTATGAATATCTAACTTCATGGAACGACGAGACTAACCGATTTAGCTATAACTTTGTGTCCGTCCGTCCATCTGTGTACACGACGATTCAAGTATTGATTGAGGTTTTTGGATCAAATTAGGGGCACACATTTCTTGAGTCAAAACTGATGGCTTTGTGCACGTGTTCTCAACCCCTACCCATATAACGGTAATTTTAAATAATACGAAAGTTCAAGTAACATCACCCACCTTAGCGGCAATAAATCCGAGGTCTGTACAAAAAGTATTGGAATAATTTGCATATCCTAAAAAGCGTATATTTATTTATTTTTTAAGCAGAATTACACAACTGAAACTCAACTCAAATTTGCAAATCTTAAATCTAAATTAAAAACTAATTAAAATGTGTCAGTCTGGCATTAATTCCATAAGCTTTTGCTTATATTAGGTCAAGTAAAAAGTTCGTTCGGTTTTTTATTGATTATTCAAAGTATGATAACTTCGTGTACATTTGTCCGATTTAAGTCAAATATGCGCCGTTTTGTTCGTAAACTTCTTTCCAACGAAATGTCATTATATCCCTCTCGTAGAAGGCTGCCTCCCTATTGGCAAAAAACTCAAGGAACCATTTTTCACAGGCCTCTTGAGGCCGACTTCTCACCATTAAGCGCGTTCGCCATGGGCAGGAAAAGATATCACTTGGTGCCAGGTTCGGACTATAAGATGGGTGCATTAAGTGCATTAAGACCTGCCATCCGAGCTCCTGGAGCTTCTGGCGCGTCACCAAAGACATGTGTGGCCTTGCTTTGTCTTGATAGAACAAAATTCGGCCTCTGTTCATCAAAGATGGCCTCTTCTGGAAGAGTGCTGCTTT